TAGTTTCCAAATAAATTCAGTAAGGGTGATATCATCAGAGGTTTTGTTTCTGGAAAAACACAGTATGGCAAACTGGCATCTGTTCTTTTATACAGAACTAAAATAAGCTGAAAATATAGGTGATTTTAATGCCTTCACTGTACTTGTTGTGTAAAGGATTAAAATATAGGATATATTGTGCAAGTTTTAGAGCTCAGATGTATTTCCCATCAAGTCTTCATGAGTATGATTGTCATGAGTTGATACTGGACTCCTGTAAAAGATAACAGCACATATCCAGTTCTGTACTAACAAATAAAAACAGAAAAGTTTCGTGTGTGGTCACACTGTGTTAGCTGAACATTAATTTCTCATAAAAATAATGCAATGGGGAAGTCATGGAAAATTTATGTCAAAGTAAAAAACCAGTCACATTAATATGAAAACATTCCTACTTTAAAATCCATCATAAACTGAAATCGCTTTGTTATGCTTATGTTCATTGATAACCGGGTGTATTACTGAAAGTTAAAGAGTAACAGGTTGGAATAAGGATAAACTTTATATTTTAAATTAAGCTTACATATTTATATTTTACTGGAAAACTCAAGGCATTCCTTTCTACAGAAGCAAGTACTGATAATCTTTAAAATGAAACTAGCAGAAAACTGAAATATACAGTGTTAGGACTGTGTTCATTAAAAATACAAGACGTGAATTATTTTCAAAATTTCACTACTTTATTTTCAAAATAATCTCCTTCTGAATCAATACATAGCTGGAATCGATTGAAAAGTTTTCGAAAACAGTCACTGTACTCCTTTTGTGGAATCGCATTTAAAACTGCGGTACATTCCCTTTGGATGTCCTAGATGGTGTCGTGACGGTCCCCTTTCATCGTCAACTTAACTTTTGGGAACAACCAGAAATCTGCTGGAGCCAAATCTGGCGAATACGGAGGATGACCAAGGATTGTGATCCCTTTTCTAGCTAAAAAATTGCGCACGATCTTCTATTTGTGGGGTGGTGCACTGTCGTGGAGGAGCGACCAGGAACCTTGCTCTCGATATTCAGGTCGAATTTGAAGAATTCTCACCCACAAACGATTGAGGACTCCGAGATAATAATCAGAATTCACTGTTTGACCTTCTGGGAGAAATTTCTTGTGAACGATTACTTTGAAATCGAAGAAAATGGTTAGCAGTGTCTTTACTCGGCTCCTTTGCATTCGCATTTTCTTTGGTTCCTGCTTCTTTGGGCTCAACCACATTGCATGCTGTACTCTGCCACTTTATGAGAGGCTCATTTTTGAAACACAATGTTTCGTCACGAGTAACAATCGATTTTGTAAATTTTGTATCACTTTGGGCCGACCGTAACATGTCTTTGCAGTGTTCCACTCTGGCACGTTTTATACACCTGACACTGTGTGTGGTACAAACCGCGCACAGACCTTCCGTTTGCCCAAATCCTTGATCAAAATTTGATGCACAGTACTTTTTGGTATTCCCAAAAGCTCCTCGATGAGCCTTGCAGAAACACATCTGTCTGATGCGATGCAAGGATTTCGGTCACTTTTTTTACATTTTCTTCAGTGGGACTTGTTCTCAGCTTTGATGAACATGGGGCATCTTCAATGTCTCCCCGCCATCACGAAATACAGCATACCATCAAAAAATGTTTGAGCAACTCAAACCATCACTACCATACACACTTTTCCTCATTTCATGCGCTTGTCCGGCTGTTTTGCCTAACTTCAAACAAAATTTGATGTTGGCTATCTGTTCAACCGCCATTTTCTGACGAGCGTCAGAACAGTACTGTTACATTCAAGGTCAGGACACATGATGCAGCGATGCTTGCGCTTTGAAATTATAGACAGACACAGCTGAAACCTCAAGAATCTTAATGCCACAACTCACCAACAGACGGCATTGCAGGCAAAATTTAAAAACATGAGTCCTAACGGATCCTGGACACACCGTGTATGGCTTAAATAAGTATCAAGTCTCTTGCATCAGGGAAGTGAGTGGGTTGTCACAGATGTATTGATCTAGACTTGCATTCAGGATGTGCCTGGTTTGAATCTTGGCTGGGCCACCACCTATCCTGACTGAGATTTTACATGGCCCCCATAAATCCCTCCAGGCAACTGCAGAGACAGTATCCTGAGTATATCACAACTGTTTCCTTCCAAACCCCTTCCAACTCATCATTAATCAATCACCCTACAGTCTGATGCTATACAGTCGACACTGACAAAGGTGTTAAATAACTTATTGAAAAACAGAAGCACCACTGAAACCGACTTTGAACAAAATCAGTCACATTTGTATTAGATGTTGGTACTTCTGATATACAGAAAGTTCCAATGGTGGTGTACTCTTTAAAAAAATATGAAGACTTAAGAAATATGGAGTGATAGAAGCCATGAGGCCCATTATAAAACTAAAGTGATTTTACGTGCAAAATTTCTGGTTCCCTTTTGCCAGAAAGTTGATAATATTTTATTTAATAAATGTTTCTGTGGCACAGGAAATGCAAATGATGATAAGCATTCCAGTTTGCCTTCAGTTTTGAGTGATGAATGTTCTGAAGATATCCATGAAAGCTCTTCATGATATCTACTAAAGTCTCCATGTAAACCTGCTTAGGAGAGAGAACCATGTGTGAAAATAAATAACATCTAAAAGTTTGTGAGTATGGTTCATTAATACAAATATTATGTATCTGAACATTATCCATCATCCTTTATTTATTTAAAAAAACAATGTTTCAGAGACTGGATTCTATTTCAGTATTCGGGTAAAACCTACTCAATTAGGTCCAAATGATAGAGCTACTCCATATCTCTGGACACCTGTACCAACATCAGATAGGATATACAAGCCAAGCACTGCATAAACCATCTGCGAGAGCTAAGACAAAACTTTAAAATATTAAAAACTCCACAGTATGAGGCCTTGCACCAGAGAACTATCAGAAAACAAGTCATCACTGGAGAGAGAAATTTTCCATATGGTACCAATACAAACACATAAATTTTCCCACTCAATCTACACTGGGCAGAGTTGTAGCTTTTTACTTCTGCTGTGATAATGGGAGTCCAGATGGGAGAGATGTCCAAGTTGGGTTGACTAATCAGATGGTCTATCAGGGACGTGGGCAGATTCCTTCTATTTCCTGTATGTGGTGAATAGTTCAATCCACAAGCCTTTCACTTCATTCCAACATATTTTGTGGCCCAACATGCATAGGTAGAAGGCCACAAAATATGTTGTGTTTTTAAATAAATCAGGACAATGGATAATGTCCAGAAATATAATATTTGCATGTATGAAAGTGTTCATAAGTCAATGAAGATACTGAAGTTATATCCTTAATATATATATATATATATGTTGTCCATGACCTGAAAGAATATGGTAGAGGAAAAGAGGCTCTGCTATTGTCAGTGGTGTTGTAATCATTCTGAATAATGTTTTAAAAATGTAATTTGGTTCCATATAATTGAGTATGTTAATAACCAGTATAGCTGAGTATGAAATGCTTAAGTGGGGGTGTTTTCCATGAAAAGCCATTCCACTTACTAGAAGTTTTTGAGCATGGTTTGAATTTTCATGTTGTTGTATAACAAGTGCTGTCTTCACAGGAAACATAAATGGCAAACACTGTCAATAACTGATAAAGCAATTCATTTCTGTTCTGCAAGCTAAGTATAAAGACTGACGGATCTAGCAGTATGGAGTAATATTTCATACCACAAACTCAAAAATGGCCATGTCACTAGAAGTCTTTGGTTACTGTATTATTTCAATGTGTGTGTGTGGCCTCCCAGATATTCATCTGTCATCATCAGAATTTTACGTGTATATAAATTACCCTGAACATCAGAAAACTGAGGCAATATATTGAGATATGCCTTAGAATATTCCTCAAGAACAGTATATGAAGCTTCTGGAGTGATCTACATCCTAGCTGACATAGGCAGCCTCGGAACTCCCAGAACCATCTCACGACATCTGTACTCGTGAAGATCTCATGGGAAAGAAGACTCACCTCTATCAACACCCACAAAGTATCCTATATATAAATCCTTTGTACAACAGGTGAAAGGAAGGTGTTTAAATTCCATATATTTAAATTTATTTTAATTCTTGACTAGAACAGGTAATGCCCTGTGTGGAGGAGGGTTAGAATGCTCCCAGCATAGCCATACAAGTTGTAGAAGGCGAAGAAAAGGGGACTTGTTGCCTGTGGATATAATTGGGCCACCCTGTCACTGCGAACATAAATGCAGAGATCTGGTCCTCCAGGTTAAGGGTTGGATGCAAGACTGATGAACCTGCTGTGTAAAATAATTACTGCTGTAAAATCCAAAGAAATGAAAACTGGAAGGTCTAATTCAAGACAAATCTGGCAGAATCTTCTACAGAAGGCTATGACTCAAAAAGGGTTATTTTGCTGATGACGATGATAACAAGTAGCAGTTCGCCATGTTTATGTTCTTTCAGAAATCAATAAACTCTCTGGTCATAATATTGTTACACCATTTATCTGGAAACTAATGTGTCCCATTCACTCAGGAGGCCTGCCCTTCAAATACGAAGTCTAAAGGCGCATCCACATTACTTGGGCTCGTGCTCATGTGACTCGCTATGCTCGCGAGTAATGTGGACCATATGACAAGTCCCGAGACAAGCAAATTTTAAATTTGTAATTTAAAAACTACAGCCAATAAATTAAAATACGACTACAGCATATACACACTACGAGTAAATATACGGATCCTCACACGCCGAAGCCTGGCGAGCAACTGAAGTAGTGTGGACGAAGATTTACGGGCACAAGTAAAAGCCAGATGAGTCTCCTGACGAGCACAAGCACGAGTAATGTACACGCACCTTAATATGTCTGAACAAGAAATGAAGTGAAATGCTTAAGGCTTCCCGTTGTGAAAGCCCCATTTCAGCTATTTTTCTAACAGTACCAATTGTAGCCACAGTGTGTCATAACTGTACCTTCAGGTCTCTATGCACCACATGGTGGTTGTGACAATACTCTACGGCGGAAAGGATCTGCCAGAATTTACGGCGAGCGGCACTTTCTGTCATCCGACCATACCTTGCAATGTAGTCTGCAACAGATAAATGTAATGTGTAACCAAGTTCCAGATTCAAATAAAGTTTCAGTAGTCAATATTAAATATTATTAAATATAATAAAATCCCTTTTGATGACAATAGGATATAACCAGACTATGGGTTGCATGACCAAGGAGCTGGACTTTGATTCCCGTGCAGGGACTAGATATTCTTATTTTCTCAACAGTGTCCAGACTAGCGGTGAGATCTACCCAGCCTCCTACCCTCTGGGTATTAACCAGGGTTTTCCTTCAAGAGTAAAGTGGCCACGACATGGACCTGAACAGTCACCTCAATCCAGTCTATTGTAATTTATGCCTGACATTATTCCTTCCCTTTGCCAATGTCTTCATGACATGGTGCAATTTTACATTTATGTGCCATGTATAAATTAAAAACACAACACTTATCAATCACACTGGACAGTGGTTAAAAATCTTTACAATTACTAGTGTGAAGGACCAAAATGAACCAAGTTACAATTATAAACACTTTATATCATTCATACTGGGATATTTTCTTCTTCACTTTAAAAAAAAAAATTGAAAATATGAAGAAATCATGAAAGTTAGAAGTCTACCCATCATTTTATATGGTTCTGCAGAAACAGAATTGCTCACCATAATTCAGATTTAAACTGATGGTAGAGCAAAGAAAGCAGACACACTCAAAACTGGCAATGGATGAAGGTGAAAGTATAACACACTCATTATGCAAGGTAAGGGGTCCACTTTGGGCTAACTGGCTGGATTGGTGGTGGCGAGAAAACATTTCAAAACCCATACCAGAAAATAAAGCATGCTAATAGCTGATTCAAAAACATTGCTTACTAGAGTAAGTGACTCAGTTATCATATGAGTTATGAGTGTAAGTCGGTAAAACATCTGAGCATGCAAAATGTACATTTTCCCCTCTGCAGTGGGACTCTAGTACACTCACCAAAAATCTCACCCTGACTAGCATACTCTGACACAATGTAGATCATGTTCTTCGTCTCCATCACCTGCAACAAAGGCAATGTCCTATATCAGGCAGAGCAGAGTGGCTACAGTGAGAGGGATCACATGGAATGAGGTGTGTCACTTAATAATGCTGCCAGTAGCTAGGCTAGTGATAAATGGTAGGATGACTGATGACTTGGAGTGAACATGACAGGAAGCAATCATTGTCTAAGGCATTATCCCAGTACTTTCCTGGAGGAACCAAGGAAAAGCATGAAAATAGGTGGGAAAATGGTGTCCCAGCCGAGATTCGAATTGAGCACCTCCTGAATACAAAGGTTGGGCTTCTAACATTACCCCAAAGTGTTTGGTTCATAGACATGCAAGGCAATGTGGGTAACTTTGGAGAACAAACTAAAAGCATGACAATCACCACTGGGTAGGTCAGCTCAAGCACTTCTGTTCGGGAGGTGCCCAGTTGAAGTCTCAGCTGGGACACCGATAATTATGACTGAGATGACTACTGTTTTCTGGGATGTGACGCCGTGTAATCTGATAGATGTTTACTGACGTTCTTGAGAAACATGATGCTTCCATCTTCAGTGTAGAAGAGTATGCCAAGTGTGGAAGAAGTGGTACGGATATGCTGAGAATGGGAGGACTGGATAGAAGCCCTCTTCAGATCTCAAAAAGCCATCAGACGGTCGTGGTTTTCCAAACAATGGGACAGTACCTGAAATTAGGCCACGACCGCTTCCAGCCACATTCTTCCCAATCCACGATTCACCAATCCTGTTGCGCGACACTGCAACTGGGCTACTGACCCGTGCCTCTGATCTCGCCCCGTCCACCACCTCGACCATCTTGCATCTGTGCTACACGAGACGTCTTTAGGTTAGGACTCAGTTCCCTCATACACGGCCGTAAATTGTCTGCGGTGTAATTTCCTTCCTCGAAATTTCCCCACATTATTAATACGCCAATTATGAAGTGAAAACAACCACGAAGGTGAAGGCAACTGGTTTCTCCGAAACGTTAGCTGGTCGTTCTCAGCAGAATGTGCAATGTCGAGTTCATTGAACGGCACAGTGCAGCTGCAACCACAGTCCCGCTACCTCTTGCCGCACTTCAGCTCACGAGCAACCAAGAGGCCAAACTAGAAACACGGACAGTGCCTATCTCTCAAACTACACGGTGTCACATACTAGAAGTCTCCTGTTGCTCACACTTTGGAGCATGGACATCAGTGACTCTCTTTGTTTCGCTTCAGTTTCTTAATCCTAAGACAGTTGGTAGGACTCCTTGGGCGGGAGATAAGCCCGTCGCAAGGCTGCTACCTACGCAGAACAAACGCAGATATCCATGCCTTGGGTGGAATTCGAACCCACAATCACAGTATTCGAGCGAGCGAAGACAGTTCGTGCCTCAGACCGCGCGGCCACTGTGATCGGCACTAGAAGACAGTAATCTTTGAAGCCAATACTTGTAGTTCCACTACGTTTCCATTCCATAATGTTCTTCAGGGTAATAGTACCTGTTTTATTTCGATAATCGTAAGTAAAAGGTAAAGCTCTCCCTGTAACAGGCCGTGAAGGCCCATATGGTTGTGAGACGCCGAGGCTCCCACATTTTCTCTAGACAATCGGCTCACAGATGGCGGTGAGTTTGTCGGCCTTACGCAGCCTTACCCCCAGGAAGTTTCCTGGTACTCATTTTTGTTAGAGGCTGAGTCGACCAAAGGGTCATAGTGTGACGAGAAGGATTAGGTAAACTAAAAAAATCCACCTCATCAGGACTCGAGCCTGCGACCTTCCAGCTTGCAGCATAGTGCCTCAACCAACTACGCTACCGCGTGCCACAGATAATCTGTATGGGTAAAATGTTCTTATGTCAAAGCAGGCGATGTAGGTACCATTGTGCTTCAAAGGGTTAAGCTACAAACCACGACTTGCATATTTAAAACAGTTACCCAGCAAACATGTTGCGCAGGTGAGAACAAGTCTTTTCACTCATGAAGAAGAAGAAGAAGAAGACGAAGAAGAAGAAGAAGAAGCACAGAGAATACCTCGCACTGCAAAAACTTTTGTCCTTTCCTGTTGTTATGGTGATACAAAGTGATGTCATCAGGTCTAAACAACTGCTGACACCAACAAAACAATTACAGAGGTAGTTACGAATTGTAGAAAAATTGTTTCATAATAATATTAGTAAAAATACACAATGACGTCAGAGCTACACACGTCAATGCAAATGTCATATGTAGGTGCAAATACGTGTACGTACAGGAGTGTGAACCGCTTGCCGGCAACATATGTTAGCACCGAAACAGAGTGCAGGGTAGGCGCCTCGAAAGACAGAAAAACGTTGCGATGTTAAGAGCTTCACCGTGAACTCGTCCGACATCACACCCACGAGCAGAGTGTTCTCGCAACTTCACAACCCCGTGTACCGACCCACAATCCTAAACTTAACGCTTAAAACAATTAAATCGTTTTGGAAGCTAATGTTTTTGCTTTTCTGTGCAGAATATGGCTAGGGTCTTTGATCTTCAGTTCCTAAGAGCACCAGGAATGCCACTAAAACAGGCATCACCTAAAGCACTCGGCTACCGCAAAAAGAGATACTGTAGGGAGAAATCCGCGACAGAAAGCCGGTAATACGAATATCTGAGACTGAATAATGATGACTGGTTTAACTCTCACTATGGAACAATCCTTGCTATCGGACAATCAAGAGCCACCCGCCATCTTGATGAAGACACACTCACTACGAGACAATCTATGAAGTCGACACGGATGGACATGTTATTATGCATAAAGAATTAGACCCAATTAATGCTTGATGCTTACTGTGGTCTCCAGGGGGGATAATATCGTGTAGTGTGGCAAGTGAATATCAACTTTCTGAGGAATATGCTGCCTCCAACTTGAACCCTAAAGATGTAGGAGGCAAGTACTTCCGAAACGTCTAACCGTCGTTCATTTGATCATTCTAATTATATTTGGCGAAGAAAGACGTTATGAAGCTCCTCACTGTGCAGTTTTCCTTAATCTCCCACCACTTTATCCGTCTTCGGTCCAAATATTCTCCTTAGCACCCCGTTCTCAAACACCCTCAGTCTGCGTTCCTCCCTTAATGTCAGAGACCAAGTTTCACACCCATACAAAACCACAGGTAAAACTGTGTTGAATATTCAAAATTTTACGTTTTTATACAGCAGACAAGAAGAAAGGTTTTGAACTGAATGGTAGCAAGAATTGCCCGAATTCAATGTCCTCTTCATTACCTCAAGAATAAAATATAACAAATTTGTTATGAAATATTACACAGGGGTAAGAGTTTGAGGTAGTGTAAACATCAACACACAGTTCGGCGTTAAATGCATCTCTATGGTCACCGTGCGACACAAACAAAATGCTCCCGGAACATCAGTTTTTTCATGACGTGATGGCAGAAACTGACAATTTCTTATGGTTATGACTTTTCAAAGAAGGCCCTGAGGGTACATACTCATATGAATTTCTTTACTTGTTCCGATGTCCAGCATGTGATAATGAGAAGCACGGATGAGCATAGTCTTCAAGAGGACGGAACAGACCACGTATGGCCTAATCAATGAAGTTCTGCTTGCCACCTGTATTCACGCTGGTTTCTTGCTTGGCTTATTCTTCGACCCTGAAGATGGAGACGACATGCTCCTCCTAAACGTCGGTTGACTTTCAACGAACTACACGGCGTTATATCCCCGAAGACAGAACTCCGCATAACCACCGCTGTGAGAACCTCAATTCCTACAAAAAAGAATCTGGTTGAAAAGCAGCCTCAACTCAGTTCAGGTTTTCTTTTTCTTTTTTCTTAATTGCGGTCTTTTCCTGAAACATGCTAAGCCTTTCTTTTCTTGTAGATGTACCCACTGTGGAAAAGAAGAGAATTCTTCGGAAACATCAAAAATTATATTTCAATAACATTTATATTTGTGTACATGTAGACCTTGCCTTGCTCGTGGCGAGCAGTACTCACACACAGTCATCATTCCTAATCATTTACAACTCCGTGACTTTCAGTCCGCAAGCGAACTATATCGACCGAGCGACCGTCGCTTGTCGGCGAAGTTAGTGCCAACTTTTGCGGATAGAGAGCGTTGCATGTCAGCGCGGTAGCGTAGTTAGTTGAGGCACTATGCTACAAGTCGGAAGGTCGCGGGTTCAAGTCCCGATGAGGTCATTTGATTTTTTTCAATTCACCTAATCCTTCCGGATAGCTTTACTTACTTTTTTTACTTTTTACTATGTACTACACTTCTCAATGCCGGGATAGCCCAGTCGGTATAGAGACTGCCTACGGGCTGGACGACCGAGTGGTCGGAGTTCGAGTCCCGGTAGGGTAAGAATTTTCTCTTCTTCTTATCGTCCAGACCGGCTCTGGGGTCCACCCAACCTCCTATCCAATTGGTACCGGGGGGCTCTTTCTTCGGGGGGTAAAGCGGCAGGGGCATGAAGGTGACCACTCACCTCCAGCTAGTGCCGAGGTCAACAAAATGTGGAGCTATACATCCACTCCCGCATATGCCTTCACGGGGTACTGCTTAATTAGTTAAGCACAGGGACAACTTTACCTTTTGCGTTTCAACTGTAAACGGCATAATCAGGCAACGTATACAAATTTACCCAAATATATCGAACTTGGCTCATTATTAATTTGTCTACATTTGTAAACATTTCCATATTTTGACAAATTCACATTTAAAGGCTAGACATACTTGGTTAGTCCGTGTACTCCACTTGATGATAACTATTTACTGTCGAAACATGTACTGTATAACACGAAATAACAAGAAACTGTTGAAAGTACCAATTGCTTACTTCCCTTTCACTGTGTATTCAGTAATCGATAAGACACGGACCGGGCACAGAAAGCATCGAGTCCAACATTTCTCCAATTGTTGCAAGTCTATTCGCGCTGCCGCGGGAACGTGTTTACCGAGCCGTTGCGTAGCAACATTATGAGAACACACAGATCACAGACAGCAAGGTGATTTCATAAGCCTGTTTTTATTTTTTCCAAAATAAGGAAAACAGCATAAAACGGAAAGTTCTTTTCTACTGTACTAAGCTTGTGTGATGGTTGATCTTACGATGGCAGTTGGAGGAATACAAATACTGGCTACGGGGGTTCTCTAACCTGGTAAAGCTTGATGATGTGCGGGTGGTCTAGCTGCTTCATGATGTCCACTTCCCGGTACACTTTCTGCAGGTTCACCATGTCCAGCTGCGACTTGTCAATTATCTTGATGGCAACCTGCAACACATGTCAAATCGCTGTGGGTACGAACAGGTGCGAGCAACACCTCAGCACATGGTAGTAAATAAGATAGCAAAAATATCAGACCAGTGTCGGGACCTCCCCAGCCAGATACCAACTACTCTGTTGTCCTTCAGTGTCGCCTAACTTCATACAAGCCACGGCTGACTACTGCTCGTGTTGCGCTTCTTTCCAAATCCTTTTCAATTCATGACTCTTCAGCGACCCTGCCACACACGCATACACGCACACACGCACACACCCCGCGCCGCAGCGGAAGCGGGCAGCGACGCGACGAAGAGGCTTACGTAACAGAGTCAGGACACCGGTGATCCTGGACAAGCAAGCGTTCTTTCCTTGCAGTGTACATCTAGCATACGCGAAAATAATGCATCTTCACTTCAATCCCTTAACGCAGAATAAAAAGTGAAAGGGTGGGTGACGGACACCATAATATTTTATGTACGCTGAAGGGTCCCAGGAAATTCCCGTTCTTCTGACAAAAGTTATTTTGGATAGAAGGTAAAATATTTGGAGTGAATGAGGTAAAGCGACGGAAAGAGGATTGTTTCCGGATATGCAGCAGAGGAGAATCATCACAGCATCAGATGCTACCACTGGGAAGGCAGCATGTGAAGTCTGCAGTGCCATGTGGAATTTGGGTACTAACTGAACATTCGCTCCAGGGCCAAGGAAAACCAAGGGAACTCTTGATCCAATTGGACGGTCGCAGAACCTCCCGAATGCAAACTGACTTCCAGTCAGCAGTCCGATATTTGATACACGAACCCAAACGCTAGTCCATATTTGCGTGTTGCTTTGTTTTGAAATGTATACAGGTTCGTAGGGTAGAAAAATTGGGGGNTAGTGAGAGACATTACATTTAAAGGGTGAAGAGAAATTTTTTCGGCTCTGAAGGTTTCCATGCAGTGCCCGCTCGTCCTTCTGTCACGGTTACGTCTGAAGGAGGATAGAGCTTTATGAAGTGAAGAAGGTAGAGTGTTATGACGTGGATATTTTTACGAGCAGAGAAGTTGAGACGGGGCTTTACTGCGTATGATCGGAAATAATTTTGATATCAAAGTTAGGAGGATTTCATTAGAGTGAAATTTTTACTTGACGTTTGGAGTGCTTAATGCGAAGCATGCAAACAGATGTTTCGAAGTCGAAGTCACATTACAATCGACGGTCAGTCGGCCAGTCAAAGCTCCTTTTGGGGTCCAAGACTAGATGTTTGTTGCTGTTTTGTCTATGTGCGGCGCCCTCTCTGATGAGAGGACGGGTCTGTCACTCGTCGAGGAGCCCATTAACTCTAGCGGCCAGCTTGCTTCTTGAGTTTCCATAAGATTTCTGGTTCGGCCACTATTTCGTCTTCTTCTGAACCTGTCCCACTGAGCTCTGTCATGATCTGCTGAAACATCGTTGCGATTAATTTGAAGATGTCGTTCAGAGACGAACTGTTTTATGAGGAGCCTGAACTGACTGTGGCGGGACAGGCAGTGCAACCGGGAACAGATGTGACTGCTGCTGTTGCTGTGTGTTGCTGCGCAGCGCCGCAGCGAAGAATACTCCTGGGGTGGTGTGGCTGCAAAAGAACAAGCTTCCAGTTGTAGTCTTGGGTGCTCTCTGAGATTCGCATCTCTTCTTGGCGTGCCTGCAGCCTCGACAGTTGAAGGGATGAGATTCCTCTCCGTCCACTAGCTTGCAGTTGCAGCATGTCCGTATCGATGCTGTATTTCCCTTTTCCGGGAAATTCTTGTGCAGGTGAGCGCCCCCAAACCACATACAAAGGGAGGTTGATTGCAGTTAGCACAGACATGGCCGAATTTCTGGCAGTTGTAACACTGTGTTGGACCAATCTCGGCCTTTAAGCCTCTACCCCAAGTGCAATATGGCAAAAGCTTGTCTCTTTGAATGTCTCCCGGGACTTCGACGATCTTGGTAAGGTTATGAAGAAGACGGGAAGGTTTACTGTTCTTTCTGAAGGTACTCAACGGTTGTCTGACAAGGTCCAAAAACCAATATGAGACGTCCTCTGTGGAGTTGTGAATGGAAGACGCCGTATTGCGGCATTTAGAGGCTTATGGGATTTGGGGTAGACTGTGAAGTATGGGAGGATTTTGCTTTCGAAGCCAGAGCGGATGGTTGAAAAATCCGCCATTTCTTTCCTGATAACTCTGGTCCAGTTTCCGGTGCTACAGAACTCGAAGCTACCTTTCAGTAAGCCCCTCAGTTGCCTTTGAAATTGTATCACGTTTACCTGGAGGTTAGTACAATAAGAGGCGGTCTACCTGCCTGGCATGATGGCGTCTGCTGTTGCTTTCTCTCGGGTGGAGTCGTCCGCGTTGTTTCAGTTGTTTCAGCCTCCATTTCAGTCCACCTCAAGGGGCGAAAATTACCGGATGGGCACTTCATCCTTCGACCGCAACTGGGGATCATTTACTCCGGTGGCGAAAGTTGCCGCTGTCTTGGTTCCTTTGTCGGTGTCGTCTCAAGATTTCCCTCACACCCTGCATCCCTAATATTAACCTTAACGTTGTATTCCCATCTCCGACTCGGTCTTCCAAATAGCTGCTTTCCCAAGGGGTAAATTACCTGAATATATAAAAATTCAGTTCGTACCTTACTGGCAATACAGTACGTCTCCGCTGCAAAGACCGACCGGTTAATGCTGTTAGGGAAATAACTGCTGTTTAATATGAGAAACACATGAAAAAAATATGTTGTGTGAGGAAAATGTACACGGGCCTAACGTCAAAGCAAGTGGTACATGTAGTAACCACTGGAATTATTGAGGCGCCAATTGTTCATAAACGGCAGAGCACCAAGATCTTCAGAGCGCTCTAAGAGAATTGCGAGTTTGGCAGTTGTTGCTCTGCTTCAGCTTATCTCCTTGTGACGCACGTCTGTCGCTCACGATAAGGTGCCTCAAACAAGTGAGGGACGAGATGAGGTGCATTACCCCTAGAATCTGGGACAAATTAGTAAAAAGTGGAAAAATGCTCTCCGGCGAGTTCTCTCCTAATCTGACACCGTCACTAGCCTTCAAGGTCGTTTACCCTATACATATAAATACGTAACTTCCCTGTTTGCTTCTTCTTTCGTACCGCGGACCTATTGGAGAACAACCATAGATGTTATGAAATTCGCTCTACAGTACTGCCGATACGGCAGCCACGGCTGTTAAAGTGATGTGTAGTTTTCGGCGTGCGTTTTGAGTCCTCAATCCCAATCTTTCTTCCCAATTACACGAGTAAACTTCAATATCTCAGTCTGGGGGCGTTACCGAGTAGGCTTCTGACATATTCGGCAAGCAGCCGGCTGGAATCTTGGCCGGGACACCCATAACGACTGAGCGTTTTGTGGTTTTCCTCAGTCCTTCCTCGCGAATTCCAGGACAGTACCTTGATGTAGTCCCATGGCCGCTTCCTTCTAAATCCTGTTCAATTCATCGTTCATTAATCATCTCACCACAAACAAAAACAACAAGCTCCGTGGCCTGTAGTCTGCAAGCGAACTATACCGACCGAGCGACCGCCGCTTGTCGGCGAAGTTAGTGCCAACTTTTGCGGATAGAGTGTCACGTGGTCGGCGCAACGGATCTCCATGGACGTTAATCTCGGTTTTCTAGACCGGGGCAGCTATTTCTTTTAAATAGCTCCTCAGTTATCCTCACGAGGCTAAGTAGAGCCCGTTCCAGATCCACTATTTCTCAGAAAATCTGGTAGCGCCGGGAATCGAACCCCGGGCCTCTGGATCTGTAGGCAGGAGCTCTGCCCACTTGACCACAGAGGCGGTCCCACCACTGCACAGCTACACAAAGGGTTACAAAACAAACCAAAAATAAGTGAATTGATTTCGGAGTATTATTCCGCCAAAATATTTTTAACTACTGTGATACTGTAAAGAGAGAGGAAGTGTGAGTGCGGACTAGAGCCACTTCGTGGTCCATAAAACGACGGGAATTTCGTGAGTATGAGAAGAACTACTAAAACTGTAGTCATCTAGGCTGTGAAATCGAGAAGTATTGTGGATGGATACCTTGTAACTTACCTGCATATTCTTCAACCTACATTTCAGGCTTGAAGATGGAGGAAGCATGTTCCTGTGAAATATCGGTATCCGCCCTCAAGACTGTACGGTGTCACAAGCCGGAAGACAGTGGTCAGCGACCACGGGGCTTTTCAACATCTCAGCGCCATGGAGCTATTTAGTTATACACTGTGATGCTGAAATGGTGAAGCTATTCCTGTAACCGGCCGTGTGAGCCCATAGGGTTGTGAGACGTCGAGGCTCCCATATTTTATAGACAACTGGCTCACAGATAGCGGTAAGGTTGCCAGTCTTACGCGTTGGCCGTCCTTTACCCCCAAATAGAGTCCTGGTACTAATTTTTGTTAGAGGATGAGTCGACTCCAGGGCCATAGTGTGACTGGAAAGATTTAGGTAAATTGAAAACATTCACCTCATCGGGACTCGAACCCGTGACCTTCAGGCTTGTAGCATAGTGCCTCGACTAACTATGCTACCGCGTGCCCTCACATAGATACATACAGACAGACAGGCAGACGGCATTCCAAAGAAAGAACACCTTTTTCGTATTAAGAAGGGGCTGAAGACGTAACTCCGTGAGAACGCCGAGCTCCATGTTTTCATCATCATGATACTTGCTCATACATAAGACGCATGCGCGAAACTAAAAAGGATCGACTCACATTTTTCATTGAGCCGTATGAATGATCCACAAGAGCCCCCTGCGGCCCTCTAGCCACAGTTTAGCCTAGTCTACTGTGTGAATCGAGCTATTGACAGCTCCGTGAAATAAACCATGAAAACACGGAAGTGTTGCGTGATACATTTCAGTTCCATCTCTCCCTTGTAAGGACTTCGTGCATGCCCAAAGGGCAAAGGGCATCTCGGTATGGTTTAGAAAGTCCGTTCCTAGTTCCAAGAAAATAACAATGCGACTGCTTCATGAAGAGTGAAACTAAAACTGT